CGTTATATATTGAAATATGTGGTGTTATTGTTTAAAGGATATTAGTCAATTAAGGTGATCCGATAAAGATGTATTGTGACTAATGCGTATTAGAATTCATGGAATTATAGTGTAGAGATCGGAGTGTTGTTTTAAATTGATGAGAGATCAATTTGAAGCAACTAAAAGATAGTGAGTATTGAGTTACTACTATTATTTTATATGGTTATGGTCCTCATTTGTTGGTGTTCTTCAAGTTTCTCTACATTCCCATCAATAGAGAGCAAAAGTTAAGGGAAGGCCACTAATCATTTGGAAGATTCTAACATATCCAAGAAAAGAATTAGATTATCATGGATCAAGGTATGTTTTTTTATGTTTTGTTATTTTTTCGAATTTCAACATAGAGTAAGATTTATGATTATTATTGAGAATTAAGGATTTGATTATTGTGTTGATCGATAATTTTATTATGTTTTTCTATCAAGTGGTATCAGAGTCAATCCATAGTTGAAATTCGTGAGAAATTGAGGTTTTTAATTCTGATTTTTTATGGATTATTTGAATTTTCATGCTAAATTCTGAAATTATAGCATATTATGTTATGGATCTAGAGTTTTGGTATTTTATTTNTAGCATATTATGTTATGGATCTTCATTTTGGCATTTTATTTCATGTAATTAGCATATTATTCTTATGGATTCTAGCATGTTATTATGGATTTAAGCCTATTGTTATGATTATATTCAAGGTTTTCTTCAAAATTCGAATTTTTTGGATTAAAGATTTTGGGATCTGATTTAAAAAAAAAAAATTGAATTATTTTGGTGCAGCCACCAGCTGCTGTAACAGCAGCAGTCGGCCGGATGGGCTGCTCCCCGGACGGGCTGCTGGTCCTGCTGCTCTAACAGCAGCCAGCTCAAGATGCTGTTATAGCAACCACGGCGGGCTGTTATATCTCGGCCAAGGAACTGCCGCCTGGCAGCCCCAGCCATGGGTCTTACGGCGCCACCGCCGAGGGATAAGGGGAGATGAAGGGGCATTTCCTATTAAAGATTTCAGTTATGGATGAATTAAAGTTTTCAATTTTTTTTTGGAATTTTTGGGGGCGGGGGCTTGGGTTGAAATTTTGA